CCAATAGCTACAATATGTGGTCCAAGAAATCGTATAACAATAATAAATGATAGAGAACGAAGCCACCAAATTTCTAGATCAATAGCCATTATCACTCTAAATAAATACAATTAAATGAAATCTATTTATAAACATAAGAGATGTTGAAAGTGATTCAATGTTTGACAATCAAAAGTTTATTATAATGTCAACAACAATAACATCAATTAAATTTAATCAACTTTTAATCATTCTGTTAACTTCAATATTATCCAATTAAGGATAAATAATCTATCACTAAACTACAAACATTATGGGCTAGAACTAGATTGTCACTAATCCCATAAGTTCGTTCGCGAAAGTGCTAAAAACTATTCAATTTGGTAATTTTGGTAGAGGGAATACTTGTTTACAAGAGGTGATATCGAACTAAACTGTCGCTTTTATCCAAGTGAAGTTATAAGCATTTTTTTTGGAAGTTACATTCTATGTGAAATATCTTTCCTTCAAAAACTTGATTGTCGAAAATTGACGATGCTAGGAAAACAACAGTTTAGGTATTTTGTGAAAAGGCAAAAAAATAGGAATAGCAGAATTTGCGCTACAAGCTGGTATATGAACAAAAATTTCAATATTTAGTTTCAGATCCCAATCGTGAAAATACGAAAATATATAAAAAAATTTTCAGGGCTTTCAAAGGTTTTTTCACTACTTTCGAATATAAATCAGTTAAAATTTTCTGAGCCAATATTCGAAAAGAAAACAAAATTCTGGTCCTGACTCATCGAGTTTCATCCGCAAGAAACTTTCGCAATACCTATTATAAGTATAGAATTTAATTTACATGATTTGTATTAATAATATTTCATTTATCAGAGAAAATCTTACCTAGCTGCAATAAATTGATCATCTGTGTTTGCACGTGTAAATCTTAGAATTAATCCAATATAGAATAGAACAAATCCACTAATGGTCAGCATTTTAAATAAATTACGAAAATAACTAAAACATTTTCCTGGTAAAGATAAATTATCTAGACAGGCGAACTAAAATTTAAAAGAAAATAATTTGTTTTTAGTTTTTTATATTTAATTACATATTAATATTTACATAATGAATTTCTTCAATTAACATACATGAAACAAAAATAATTGTGACAATTTCAGTCCAATAAATTGATGGAATTTCATTCGTTGGTCGTTCAAATTTAAATAAAAGCGTATAAGAAAAAAGTAAAAGAAAAAAACAATAAAATACCTAAAAGAAATTTCATTGATATCATTCAACCAAAAAAAAATTGCTTAATACATACACAATGATACCAATATTTTATTCGTAAAGCTTGATGAAAATTTCTCACTCGATGCATATACCGATTAATCGGTAGAATTTTAGTATAACGAGGATATTCAAGTGGATATGGATCAGAATAAGTTATACCATAGGGTTGTAAACTAAATATAAAATAATATGAATTAAAATTTTTTATTATATTTTCTTTTCAAATTACGTACGATCGATGAAGAGATTCGTCTTTGGATTCCTAATCAAAAGAAGATATTATTCATTTATCAATAAATTTTAATTCTATGAATTTGTTTCAAAACTTTGATATCTCTTCGTATTTTACGTTTGTTCGCACTACCACCCGTGCACTGATAGTGGACTATCGGTATACTGGAGTAAAATGCTGATCAGAAGGTAGTGGATCGGTAAAGTATCAAACTATCGCCGCTTGATTGTCGGTATACCGGCGGTTTGAATTACATAGGTAGTTCAGTAATTGATCATATTGTCAATCGTTTAAAGCGATCAGTGGAATAGTTAGAGGTAGGACAATTTCGTAATAGTTCCAATCTGAGGAATTGATGCGCTAGAAGAGTTTTTTCGCTCATTTAATCTGAGCAGTGAACTGAACGCTGATAGACTTATAGATGCACTCAATTAAAACTTAAATTTTATCGATAAGTTTCTATGATTAATAATACTTTTTTTTAAATATGTTAGTAATTGTTGGCAATGTGATTTTTATTCACCTTTATATTCTTTCGTCATTCGAAGTTTTATGAACGGCATTAGTTTTCGTAGTCAAACTGAGTTTAGATACATCTAATCTTGAATTATGGATCGATGCACGTGAAGAGCACAACTGTGTAAACGATCTAATTGTCGAAAGTTGTCCAAATATGCCGAAGTATAAAACATTAACAGATATATAGACCATAGATGGAACCGATCTTATTTTTTCAGACCGGACCGGACGGTATACCGGTTTGACCGGTCTACCGACAAACTACTGATCTATAGGCAACAGATCGTGCTTTAAAATGAAATCTCGCTCCATAGTGAACTATTTTGAGTCAAATTGGTATTTCGCGGCATAATGCTTCACTATTGACAACAATAGTTTCATTGAGAGCATTGTCCAAACTATCTGTTAAACTAATTGTTGCGTGATCAGTGAGATTAGGCTTGGTTCCACGTATTTGTTTTTAATATAGATACAATTATAGATCAAGAAAATGGAAAATTTAGATTAGTATGGGCTGGTTTGAACAGGTCAGACCAGTACTGATTCCATCTATGATATAGACTAACGTTTTAAGATTTATTGAGTTTGTATAGATTTGTAGACTTAACTTTAACTAATATGAAATGTATATCAATCTAATGTGAAGAGTGTCATAGTTCAGAAAGATGAGTCATTACCCTCCGCATCATTGGCAACCTCTATATAACGTCAGGTTAGTAGTGAGAGTAAAATTAGCAAAAGACAATTTACATTATTTTCTGTATCAAACTTTATAGATCATAGAACCGACCTCATTATCCTTACTATTAAGTCATTTAACTAATTTATGCTTAAAACTATTAATATTTATCATTATTTTCTCTGTAAAAATTCATATGTATAAATTTAAATAATAATAAATTCTAACCCGTCGGCCACTGCGATAATTGACAACAAATGGAGCCAAAAGACCAAGTGAAAAAAAGCCAATAACCATAGAAATTCTATTTCGGTTTCTTGATTGCTCTGGATAAATTTTATCATACCAAATATTATTCATAGCTTGAACACAACATGGTGTTGCAATAAATAATTTATCGTTTGCATCAGCAGCAACCTTTTCGATAAAAATAAAAATTTAAAGAAAAATCATTCATTGATAAAAAAGAAAAAAAAACATATTAGTTATACTTGAAGACAAGTAACATTTCCATAAAGTTCAATACGTTGTAAAACAATTTGACATGCTTGATCTGGATCATTTTTTTCACATTGTGTTATACAATCAATAGCATATTGTTGAAAATAATTAGCATTTTTCATATAACTATCTTTTAATTCACCATGTGTTGCTTTAGAATAATATTCTTTTAAAATTTTTGTAGCAATCAATGCAGCACATATACGATATTTAACATAAGATAAAAGAACTTTAGCCATATCAATATGATTCATAAGTATTGACCATACGAATAAATCTCGCATTATATAATCTTGAATTCCTTGTCTATTTTCTCTATCTTGAAGATCATCTTGAGATCCAATAATTGGAATATTTATTTGATTTTGTTCAATATTTTTCTCATCTAAACTCCATGATAGTCGATATGTATTCTCATGTTTCTCGTTATTAAAATATAGTTTGTTCATATAATCACCAATAAGTGTACTAAGGACAGCATTAAGATCATAAATTGTATGAATATGTTTTTCAATAAGATCAGAATGGGATTCCAAAAACCAACGTAAATGAGTTGTATCACTATTCTATAACGATATGAAAATTAAATATATATTTTTTTTTCCATTCAAAAATATAACATACTACTGCTTCATCTTTATATAATGATGAAATAAATTTGTCATATCGAGCTCGTCCGTTCAAGAATTTATCATTTGGAAAGAATATTTCACTTGGATCAATACCCAGTTTAAGAAATTCATAAATAAATGTTGGTAAATCTTTTGTTAATGCATATATAAAAGCTTCCTCTTTGTTCTATACAAAAATAACAGCTAATTATTTGATACAATACTCTTCAAAATTATGACAACAAAATATCATCGAATGTTATTAATTGTGCAACGCAGCACAATACTAATCAAAAATATAAGATCAATGTATTTTTGATTTTTCTTTTATGATACCAAGCATTTAACTCAAATCGACATATTGATTTGAATAGCCAATGAAGTGTTCTCTATCAAATGCGTTTCATAGATGACCTATGAGAGGAAGATTTCTGGAAGATCAAGTACGGTAGTTTCCACGTCCTAGAATATTGTATGAAAATTAGTTTTGAAGGTCGTCATCGTAAAGAGCACAAAATTCTAAGTAAAATGAGGGATTGTCGCATATCATACGGTTTTCTCATAAAAAGCTACAAGCATCACAATGCGAAATTTATCAAAACATTACTAAAA